TAACAGATCTAAGGCCAATATGTACATAATGTGGCAGGCTGGAACCATTATTTATATAGGAGTGACACGGCTGGATCCATTATTTATATAGGGATGACAGGACTGAGTCCATTATTTATACAAGCTGAGAAAATAATAGGAAAATGTCCAGCAGTAAAGAATATTGGCGATGATTGGTTGATTTCAAAATATTATTTACTGACGTTTCCAGCGACCTTGTTTTCGGTTACATTTCAATCGTTATCTTCACCATCTTCAAGCAATAAAAGTGCATCTTATTAAGCATATCCCACAATACAGAGACAGTGATTTTCCCCGATATGCTATCGGCAATTTGATTGGCTCTTACTCGAAACCCGACGTAATTGGCTGACAGATCTCACGTGACAACAGAATATGAATCAACATATTTCGGTTATCCGTTCATTTGGAGATAAGATAAACCTGTCAAAAACACACCCGCTCGCCAATTACTAGTATTACAGTATCCTCGGTGGCGGAGCTACGTCACAAGACGTTCCACGTTGCTAATACGCACACCACTGTACATGCATTTCTATGGGCTCTGTGGGCGCTGCTGTGGAACGCCGGTCGAGCCGGTGAAAATTCGAGAAAACAAAACAAACTCAACTTTGAAGTAATCCTGAACAACCAAATTTATATATGTTACACACGTACGGCTAATCTTGTTACACTGTTCAGGGGAGTCTCAAAAACCATTCGAAGATACCGTTTTCTGCGAGTTTTTGGCCTTTGTTTTCACCGCGAGGGTTGCCAGGCTGTGAAAATGCCCGGATGTCCGCCCCGAGGATAGATTCAGAAATGAACCTAACTACACCGTCTCTCTAATGCACGCCCTCTAGCGTCGAATCGCTTCTATGACGTTAATTAATATAAGGGGCGCCTTTCACAGCGACTTTTTCCGGAAGTAGTGAGACTGGGGTGCAAGAACGACGCCCGAATTTTTTATGTCTTCATTTTGAAATTACATGAACAATATGTCGTTAGAGGGCGCGATATATTAGAAAAGTGCATTTAAGTTGTACGAGTTAGGACAAACTGGACCACAATGAAACGCATAGTCAGAAACACGTGTATTCCATAAAATGTTCTAAAATAGGCACGTGACGTCACATCCTACATAGTCCAGATAAAAGCTAAAATACAATAGTTTAACATAAACAGTACTCGGTACACAATCGTAAATGCCCACAAATTCAACACCTGTCTACGCATTACGCCATGGCACATCAGTAAGCACGTTACGTCATACCTATACTCAAATGAGGGTAGGTATAACGTAATCTTGAGTCAATATGGCGTGAATCACAGTGATATGACATGCGCAGATGGAAAGCTATTTACGTCACAAACTATTCCACTTTGCGTCAATGATAAGATAAAAAGAATATAAATACATTAAATAATTATTATATTATAACTTGTATATACAACTGTTCTCGCGTGATTTAGTCATAACAGGTGAGTTCATGTCAAACTGCTAAGATAAGATGTATTGTAAAGTGTTGGACTGCAATTACACACATTTCTTTAATTATACATTTGATTGCGCATGACCGGAATGTATTTGACGTCCAATTAATGCAATCGTAATAAATACTAGTATGACGCACTAGTATCAGATTCTGTGATTGGTTGCCCAACTAACCAAATGAGATGAAACGTCAATACTAATTAAGGAGATGCACAGACGCGGTCTATGCTTTGCAAAATCTTAATCAAAATGAGGATATATCATAAGTTCGTTGGTGTACAGATAAACGTGAAAATGGTCCACTCAGCTAATTGAGAGTGACACTTGATAGAACCATAGTGGTGAAAGCTTCATTCGCGCCAACCTTGAATTCCGAGTCCCGATTCTAAAATGACAGCTGACCACACGACCGTGCTGCAGCCGTTAGTTTTCACCGCACCTAGAAAGAACAAATTAAAGAAGTGTATTTTTCTTTCTTTTTTATAAAACCTCTTATTTGTACAAAACTCTGTTTTTTTCGTCATATTTCAGAAGCGTGTTTTATGCTCGTTATTTATTTTCTCAACTTTCTAAGTAGAGCAAATAATAAGGCATCCCTGGTTGACCGTATCAACGGCTCTTCTCTTCTTTGTAGTGCACAAACACACGACGTTTTGATGGCAATCCAGTCCCAGTCTTCGGTTCCATATGTTGTTTGTATCATGGCATATGCCCACGTTTTCTTCTCTTTACAAACCGAACTGTACTCGTGCGTGTCAATTCCTCGACAGTTGTTTTCAGGGGGCGCTGTTTCGCCCGTTGTCTTACAGGACGTTTCATAAAAATATTGCCCAATTGTTGTGTTGTCCCTAATTTTAAACATCGATAAAACTGTAACATTTTGTCCATAAATATCTGTAGCCCATTTTTTAGTAACCCACCCACTCTTGCTGTCACAGACCGACATTTCAGGGTGTATCATCACCCGTCGTTTATCACGGTTATGAGACTCGGACTTTTCCGTGTCGTCGTCGTATGTGTTCGGATCCGGAAATGACGTTACGTGCCATGGAGGCGTTGTTGGCCTGGCGGTAGAAAAAGTCACTAAGTTCGACAACAAGGCAGGATTTTGATTTGAAATGTCATTAATGTTTTCATAGTTAGTATGGGGTATGTGATGCCCCACATGAATATCGTCATCTTCCGTATCTTTTCTGTCGTTAAATATATACCGATATGTCCTGGGCGACCTGGACGCAGTGTCCACTGATTCCAAACACATCAACATCAATATCAGCAAACTACAGAATAATTTCACCATTCTCTGTAAGAAAAAAAAAACGAGTGTATCATTATCTATGCATCTACACATCTACACTGAAGAAATACCGCTACTTTTGCAAACGAGAAATCATCCCATTGCTTCGTTCAGAAAACGAAAGTCGTCGGGCGGCCAGTAAGGGCGATTTACCAGAGCGTTCGCAGACGCGAGTCTCGTATATACTTGTTCCTCAATTTCCTAACACTGTTCAGTTCTGAGAACAATTCTTTTATCAACTTCATTCCGTAGATTTCGAAATTGGGTTTAATGTCTGATGTATGAATTTGGTTACGGAATTTCGCAGCGAGTTCTGTTTCGACAAAACCGAACGACCTGATATTCGTGTTCTTAATGTTTCCATAACCACCTGGCAAAATGAAATGATGCATTTGTTGATAAATTCTCATTACAAAAAAGAAATACGTACTCTAGACTAAATGAATGAATTGTTGAATGATATCGTTAGTGCTGAGTGTGAATCATACTAAATCTCACAAGTAAAAAACATGACATTTTGAAACATTGAATCGAAAGTCTTGTGAAATTTCCTAACTATCCGTTTCTGCCACCGTCCGAAACTCGATCTGAGTTGGTCAATAAAATATTGATAGCATGCATTTACTAAATTGATTCCAGGATTCGAATGAAGGAACCTTCAAAAATGACGTTTTTTTAAAGAGTTCTATGTAACCACGGGTGTACAGAGAGATATAGACAAACCCTGGTAATGTATTCAGCTGAAGGATCCCGAATACAGTAGTTATGTTTTTACGTGGGGTCCAGGGTGACTACAATTACATTGTTATTGGCTTAGTTTACGCTAAGAGCCACGGGTACCCATATCATCAATGTGGCAACCGTAGACCATACACGGCGTATTCAGCAACATGATAAAAACATTAACGTTATTTTAACACGTATTGTGTTATGATTACATAAATAACATTATCTACGATCGCCTTCCGTTTGAACGCCGCAGCTGGCAACTGTGACTATAACCGTATTTAAACAAAGCCCAATTATAGCGCCACGTGCATCATCGTTTAACAATGCACACAATCCATATTCCGGCTTTATTAAGACGCAAATTATTGATTTCAATATTTCTTCGCAGACTAAATATAGGCATACCGGTGTACGGTTATTCAATTTGAACAAGCTCACATGTCACGTGCATTACGCGCTTGGGTAAACCACAAGGGTTAAAGGTCACCGGTGTCGCTACCACTTAACGTGGAGCCTCGCAATGGTTAGTTACATTAACCCATCACTGTGGTGCCCCGGTGAATTAACGCACATTACACACACGCTACTTACACGTTTCCGATTTCGTCGTCGCGGTGACGTCATAGACATTTGTTTGTTCCGGGGCTTTCCGTGAACTTCCAGTCTCCAAATCCTATACCTAATAAATTGTAGTAAGGGGCTGGCCACATGAAAACATGGGAGGAAAGAAGATTTGGTAAAAAAAAAACTGCAAGCGAGACACCAAGAGAAACAGTAAATTGCATATCAGGTGCTGCAAGGAAAATGATGTCAGCACATTAATTTAAAAAAAATACGAAAAAAAATGCTATGGCCACACTCTTCAAGCCACAGCTCATTATTTCAAATGTTTACCCCTAAGGTATCTTGCTCCCGATCAAGCCGATTCAACCACGACGTTATTTCGTGACCAGCCGATTACAAAAATGACTGGGATTATTTTTTCTGACTTCCAGGAAATGGAGAATGACGTCATCGATTGATTAATTTATTTGTCAATGAATGATTAATAAAGACGGAGGCAGTAACGGGGTGAGTCGGTCATATTTGGATACTTGATGGGAGCTTACTCGTGTTAAGTCCTTTAATAAAACCTAATACATTGATATTTGCTGCGCCATACCACTATGTGCGTCACAGCTTATTTCAGGCTAGCGTATACGCACATAAACTCTCGGCTCTCTATATTTGCCCGGAAGTCACAGTAAATTGCATAGCGGTCACGTGATTTCGGATGAGAACCGCGTCTGAAGGGCCTTCTTCATATCGGTCATTTCGGTGAATAAAACTTTAGCGGCTATGAGCTGCCGTTGTTTGTACGTCAAACAGTCAATACCTGAAAAGTGCAGTGGTTGTTCTGAATGACAAATTAGGTTTAACAAGTCAGATAAACGCAATGCCCTATGGTAACGATATAACAAAACTGTCGTATACATAAGTAGATCTTGCCTATCCCGTCATGCAATATAACCAGTGGCATTTGAGATGCTCAAGATGGCGGCCGGCAGACAATGAATATTTTCATACCTCTTTATAAGGAAATTACGAAATAATTAAACGATACCTTCCGGTTATTTGGCCACAATGTAGAGGTGGCGCCAGAATCGAAAAAGTACGGATCAAGATACTTGAAACTGACAGATTTTGTCGAAATCCAATGAAGCAGGGGATATCGCTGCCAGTGGTCGACATTGTTAATGCTTGAGGTGGCGGCAATGAAAACGCTCACTTTAATTTCGTACCATGACCGGAAACAGGCTACCGTACGCAATGTGTGTGGTACAAAAGGCGAATTGACTGCCAACTATGCGTGAGATTTGTGTTGTTCGGTTTGCTGCGTTTTCGTCGGTGTTTGTTTGATCACCGTCGTAATTCGAAAACATTCCGAGAAACGACGCTGCGGTAATTACGTCTCGCGAATTATTGGTACCATAACGGGGACTCTATTTTGGGTTAGTGAGATTCTAAATCGCAGGCAATGACAACGAATCATGTCGCACAATGTACGATAAGCTGTATGTCGTAAGTCAGACTCGAGAAATTCGATTCCACAAACTTGAAAGCAGATGATCAGAGTAGCGCGAGAGTCTAATAACCCGAGCCCGCAAATAAGTAGTGTGATAAGTTTAATCCAATAGGTTACTTTAATCTCAGCGATTTTAGTGAAACTGGATTTTCAATAACAGTAACGCGATCAATAAATAAGACCCAATCTATTTTTGCTTCCTCTGCCATGTTGACTGAACGTATTTCATGACAGGGCACGCAGTGGGTACAGTTTGCTTTTACCCCAACAGCTCGTTATTATGATTTGAAGATATTGAAAATATTATGACCTTCGACCTCTAGTTTACGGAATATACTCTAAAAATGGAAACTATTGATAAGATGCTATTATTAAACACCTTTATTGAATGGACTAAAAAAAGATTCACGGCTTTCTTATTGTGTACGCCTGTGCGTCACACAGTTTTATATTTCATTAATGAAATTTTTCATAAATAACCAATAAATTTATTTTTTTCTTCATGCTGCAAACTATGGTCTTATGAAGTTGCATTTTGAAGTAATTTCTATACCTTTATTTGATTTAAGGAAAAGGTGTTGTCAAATGAAATGTGAAGTAAAACAATCATTTAATATAAAGTTGAATACATACAATCCCCGCTATTTACACATTAATACTATTCGAAATACCCCCAAATCTATAGGAATGATCTGAGAGCGTAGCTTGTAAATGATCTTTTTATTAGACAGAATAACTAAGACGTAAAGCTATAGCTGTCACGGATTCCGTGAATAAGTATGGAATATTGTTATCAACGCGATATTCATATTAAAACTCTTATAAAACGCACTTATCAAAATGATATGTTCTTTTCAGCATTATACATGTCGCGCGAGGCGCCAAACAATAGAACGTGTGGTTCCTAATCATCCAATATCACAGATAATAATTATGCTGACACGGTTTCGACCTTCAAACGCCATTTAAATAGCAAAATATAATTTTGAATAATTTATTAATATATCACCAACAAATTAAATTAATAACGCAACAATGAGAATTATAATAAAAACTACATGATTGTTGTCAGAAGGTCACAACCCTCATTCTTCTCATGGAGTGTGTCATATAAATAACAAATTTCGAACTAGAATTTCATATTTTTCCCGCCAAAATGTCTAGTAGGCGCAATAGTTGATGTATGTTTCCATATTTTTCTCAGATAGACGTAATTTTCTATAAGCTACATATTTTAAATATATATATATATATAAACAATTATACAGGCATTTAGAGGGTTTATTTAAACATATTTGTTTTCAATATTATTGCTTGGGCCAGTATTTAATGTGTCACAGCTGTCATACTGCGTCGTATTTGACATGCGCCCCATGCATCGTATACAACTCGCGTAAACAAATACATAGTTTACACGTAATTAGAACGCGCTACTCAACGACTGCGTCCCGCGCTTCACAATAAAAAAACAACATACACGCATGGGTGTTTGTGTAGTTGTATCTATCATTAATATCTACATTTTGATTGGGCAAATTAACCTAATATTTAAATATGTTTATAATTGTTTATTTGTAGCGTAACAACAAATTGCTCAAATCAATAGACCATTTTCCGTTGACTGCGAGAATCACGCGTTATGCGTGAAATCGAACGTAAAAACAGGACAAACAAAGGTCATAGCGTCGTAGTGGCGTCAAACATCGCGTGGGATTCGACAAACGCGAAGTATTTTGGGGACATTTCCATGCTTAATAATGTGCTGTCCACATTTGATGATAAGCAATTTTGATTAAGTAAAGGTATTCGGAAGCAATATTCCTCTGTCGAAGATCGGCCGGTCGATGTGAGTTACGAAATAAAGAAATTCTAGTTCAAAATCAAATCGTTCGATTTTTGCGGCAGACGTTCGACGCGCGTTTTTCATACATCTCGCGAGATCTCGCAATTGTACGGAAAATCCCCTATTGAAACTAAACACATGAACATCGCCTGTGTATTTGAATGTATAACCTTAGTTTGCATACTAATTACCTAATTTACATACTTGATTTGAAGAAATTGTTCTGACATATAAAAAAAATATACACAAAGAAAAACAAAAATTATTCGAACAATTAAATATTACTAAATAAAATCTATAAAATGTGAATATATAAATATATATATATGTAAAAAACATATTCACTCACGCAGCCCTTCGAGATTATCC